AGGGATATTTTTTGGAAATTTTACTTATTTTTATTTCTTTCTGAAAACATTGGTTTTTTTATCATATTTTACTTAATAATGTAAAATATTAACAATCGGTTAGCAATAAGTGTGGCAGACACGTATATATTCACATACTTTCTTTGTGTTCGTGAATTTTTATAAAAACAATTATAAAAGTGACAATAAAATAAAACACTCAGCAGAAGAGATAGCTTTATTAAAATTATTGTGAAAATTCCGTACACTATCCTATAGGTTTCGTGGCTCTAATTGTAGAAAATAATAGATATGATTTCGTGAAATTGCTATCTTCTGCTAATTTACAATATACAATTTGCATTACTTGCACTCCAATTCATTAAAAAAATGTTCGTTCTTATCTTACTTGGAATTGTAAACAAAAAAATCTGAAAAATCCGAAAATTTTCAAGAGTATTTTTTCAAGATTTCTGTAGATACTTGTAGCTTCAGTTGATAATTAAGATAATTCTATTATTGACATTTATTTAATTATGATTGTATTTAGTACTGATAGCGAATTATAACAGAAAGATAAATGAATAAAGGCCGATTGTTCCATCTTCGGATAAATTGTATGATAATTTATCTAATGGATAAATAAAAGAGTAAAAGAGTAAGAGTACGAGAGAGTAAGAAAATCAGAGAATGAGTTGAAGTTTATTGAAGTAGAACAACCCAGCCTAAATAAATTATATTTATTGCAATATAATTTATATAAGTGAACGTTAATGTCTTTCGAAACTAAATAAAAAATAATTATATTAAGAATTTTAAGCACGATCGTATATGTGAATACATCAAATACGATAGAGAAGATCGATCAAATTTTAGATATTACAAATAATATATTATATATTTTTTTATTAAATCAATTTATTCCAGATATAATTGCGATTCCGATAACAACAAAAAATAATTTAAAAAATGGAGATTGTTAGGAGACGAGCGTAGAAAACGATGCGCGGATTATTCAGTTGACAAAATTATATTCATCAAAAGCATTATCAAAAACATATTTTTAATAATTACTTTTATATTATTATTATATACGTCTCTTATTTTTCTTTATTATTTTTAATTTTATTTTAATTTCATGTTTTATTTCTATAAAAAATAGCGCACTTGGCAAGACGTCAGAGAATCAACACTAAACATTCTGAATTTCCAAAAATTCTTTTATAGATCGAAGTATACTTTTGTAAAATAATTACTTTGACATGTATTATATACATGATAAGATCACTTTATTCGAAAATTTTATCAGAAAATTTTCATTTGCGGCAAATTGACATTTGAAGATAACAAAACTTTCGTCAAGATATCGATGCGATATCTTTGCATTTGTGTATGATAATTATTGCTATTCTGTTATATTCTTTCTTTATGTATTATGTACAGGCACGACACATATATATCTGTGATTATCACAAGCAAGTGATCCAATGCGCAAGAACGAAACAGCAACAGCAGCGAAGGCGCAAGGATTCCGAAGAAGACTCGGGTGAAACTGACAACGACGTTCCAGAAGTTGACCTCTTTCAACTGCAAGTCGGCACTCTAAGGCGGTACAAAAGGCACTACAAGGTTTCTACCCGACCAGGTCTTAACAAGGCTCAGTTAGCGGATGTAAGTATAGTAAAATATTTTCTATCTAACACATGCAATAAAAATAACAAGTTAAATATGCGTATATACTTATATATATTTATGTATTCAAATTAATATATGTATATACGTATATAATGTTTTAAATAAAAATAAATAAGTCATAATTGTCATATAAATTAAATTATTTGTAAAAAGGATATAAAATATATGTATATTTTAGGATGTTTCAAGATATATAAAAACAAATAGATAAAAATAGATAAATCAAAGTCTGTATTCACACCTCACCTTTTAGCGATAAATGCATTTAGCATATGGTTTACATTACATATAAAATCTGAAAAATGTGCACATTTATCGATAAAAATGAAGTGTAAATATATTATATATGGACCAAATAGTTTTTCTTCCCAGATCTTTTCCAAATGACTGTTAAATAATAATAATAAATAGCTTTATATCATTCATTATTACTTTCAAAGACAAGAAACAAAATAAAACACAATGAAAATATGAAAATGATAATAATTAATCTTTTGAAAGAACGAAATACGTTTACTAGATATGTTTTTTGTATCCGAATTAGTCCCCGATTCTCGAAAAATATCGCATATTAGTATTAAAAAATCTACGTATAATATATGATAGTATTTTCGTAAATATTTATATGCGATATTTTTTGAGAATACGTACCCTAGTGTCGTATTTAAAATAAATATATGTTTGAAGTTCGCGAAAATGCCGTTTAAATACACCCGCTTATATCCACAACATGGATCATGATTCAACATGGATCAGTTCAGGACAAAGAACAGGTCTATTAATTCAAGGGTAAAGGAAGGGTATTGGAAGGGAGAAGCTCCGCCTTGTACCGCCTACTCCGATAAATGTTTCGTCTGCACCTAAACCTAATTGGCTCTCCTACGAATTCGTTTCGCATTCGAATTCAACAAATACCATTCGAATTTTGAGTATAAATGAAAGATTCAGTTTTTTCAGCTAAACTTCTTACATGGGGGCGAGGGAAGAGGTTTATCTTTTCCTTCTTTCATATTGGAGAGAAAAAAGAAAAAAGATGAAAATGCAAGAAATTCAAATGCAAAGAATAGACCTAAAATAAAGAATTCCTATATTGTTTTTCTATTATATTTTCACTGTACGATGCTTTATTATTTAATAACTGATACTAACAATGAGTAAAGACAATTGCTTCTTGACATTATTATGATTTAAAAAAGTAACGTATCATAAAATTCTTATTGCAGACTCTCATGAAGCATTTCAAGACCATCCCCGTCGTGGAGAAGGAAGCTCTAAGCTTTTTCATATATACAGTTAAGACCAATGCGAATAAGTTAGACCAAAAGAACGGTTTAAGTAGCAGTGACACGACGTAACATTATGTGGCAAAATTTTTCGTGTAATATTAGTTACGTGATAAGTGTGTAATATCAATTTTTACTTGTTAATATATTGTATATGTATTTTATAAGATGTCCATTTGAAAAAGATATATATATATATATATATATATATATATATAATAAAAAATAGATGTATATATAATATATAAAAATATAATATATAATATGCATATGTATATATGTGCTATGCTGTGTTTTAACATATATATACATATGTCAGTATCAAAATTTTGTTGTTTTAATTGCATTTCATTGCACTTCTCGTAATGTAGAAGCTGGCACGATGTAAAAATGTACAAAATGCGTGCTCGCGATTCCGTTTTAGAAATCGTGGGTGACGATTAATTTGGAAAAAGATAAGTGCGCAGTTTATTATTACAACCAGAAATAAACTTCTGTGAAATCAATGTATTTTTATCTATTTTACCTTTATTGAAAAAAAAAGAAAATACATAGAATATACGTTCCGTCGTTTCGGGAGCTTGATATAATTCCCTGATATATTTATATATCTATACTATATGAATATGTGTAGCGTCGGATAAAGACATGTATAAAGATCTCGGTTTTTTTTTTATTTTTTCTTTTTTACTTTCTATTTTTATCTTCAACATGCTTATTAGCAATCACTATTATCATTATTAACTCGCTTTTTCGATCGATTGAGTCTCTTGATAAGGAATTTCAATCTATCCTTCCTATTTTGCCTGTGAAGATGAAATAATGTTTGTGCGGATGTAAATTTAACTCATTAAAAACATTCACAGTGGGTAAAGAAATGTATGAACGTAGATTCGTCTTGAATATAAAAGAAACAAGTATTGCTTTTTATTCAATAACTAAACGAAAAATAATAGGTACTTAGTTAAATATTTGTCAAAATATAGATGTATCAAATAATAAAAAATAATGAGAAACAAAAATTGTCTAGTGAACAAGATACTTGAATACCGAAATAGATAAAAGCTTTTGAACGTTTTATCCATTTACATTTTGATTTAATAGGTTTTTCTGAATTGTTTGAAGAGTTTATGTTTCCTCAAATGATTTTTTCTTACCAAGATATTTTATTAAAAATGGTTGAAGTTTTCAACTTTAAATTTAACAAATATAAAAAATTTTTAATTCTCTATCATCATTAATTATTATGATAATTATTATGGTTCTGCAACTATGTTAAAAATACTAGGTATTGCTATATAACTATCCTTTAATTTTGTCCTAACAATGCGTTTAATATTCCTATGCTTTGTATTATGTATTTTTTTTCTAAAGCAATAAGTATCGTCGACGTTCAATTTTTAAACAATCAATCAGTTTTGCAATACATACTTTTTCTTGCCCACTGCATCATTAAAATCATATTTCCGTTGATAAAATCAATTATCACTAGGTAGCGAGATTATCCTTAACAATCTTCTGCGATAAATTTGTCGCATGTTGAACATAGTTCCATCTTAATTATCCGAATTATCTTGCTTTTTCTTTATTGTTCCGCTTAATTAATTTCTTTCATTCGCACCATTTCTTATGTCTCGGCGAAGCGATCTACTATAACTCTACAATGCAATATAGGTGCATGATGGATTATGTATGTTTTTTTTTATTATTCGCGAATGTTATCGCTATCATTGCTTAATATTAATGTTGCTAACTATTATTCTTCTATCCTTAAAACGCATACAATAAGAACCTGATTATTCGAACGCTCGATTGATCAAATGAATAGATTACATGAGTAGTATAAGGAACGCTCAAATAAGCATGATGAAATAGATTTGAATAATGAAGATTCTATTGTGCTCATTACACATAGCTGATATATATATATATATGTATATGCATGTATATATAAGATATATATATCATATAATGCATATGTTAGTTATGTATAATATATAATATAGCATTTGCATATGATATAGAAATTCATTACAAAATGGAATTCTTTTTTTTTTCAAATTTGACTTTTTTAGCATTCTAAGTATATAACCAAATTTCTGAGAGACAATTTCTTTCTTTTCCGGACAATATCAACAGTATACATAATATATACAACGATAATTCTAGGTTAGTAGTAAAACTCGCTTGTCTGTTGCAAGTTTGAACTCCGACTATCTGCAGTTCTTGAATTAGAATAAAGTTATCGTCCTTGTCCGTCCCATGAGTCCTCATTATAATTTATACGGTTCCAACCTCCTCCGGGTCATAATTTTTAACTCTCTTGTTATATGCAATGATTTCCTACATTAAAAATCATTTCATTGTCAACAAATTAATTGTATCAAGATAATCAATTACCATACATTAATGCAAATCAACAGAATATATTAAAATCGAACGTCTTTAATATGTATTTCGGTATAAACATACTCTTTCGTATCGAGCTCTGTCTTCCTCCGCGATGGCCATATATTTGGATTTTGTCTGTAAATCCGTACTCATCCACAATTTTCCTAATTCCTTTGCAATGTCACCTACTCCCATCTCAGGATGCAATTCTCTCATCTTGCTACGTAGTTCTTGGCAAAAGTAGAAAAATGCAGATCTATAACATATCAAATCACTATAAATATCATCAAAAAACTTTAACATTTGGATATTGTTTTATATCGATAAATTCTGTCTGGATTTGCAAAAATCTTCATTGATCAGAACAAAAAAGTGCAAGTTTGTATTATTAACGCATCTTTGAAATATAATTTTTTGAATATATTTCTGTTTAATTATTATTTTCAATTTAACGTACAATGCCCGTTTTGGTGCATCCTTGTCTCTGTATCTCTTTGTTCCTCTGCGTGTTGGTCTCTCTGGCTCCTCATGTCCAGTGTAGTGTCTATCATAATAATACATTTTCTTGTTGTTGCAATGTGCATTACCATCTTCAAGATGTACGACCTGTGAAATAGATTAATCATTAATTAAGTATAATATATTAATTAATATTAACTATCATTAATAAGAAAACATCATGAGAAACTTTATAATAAATTTTTCATTTATATTGATTAAACAGATCTAATTCAAAACAATTCATCCCTTTTTTCTCTGATTGTTTAAATTGTATTTTCTATATGGTTTAAGTTTGAATCATTATAAACTCAAGTATTTTTAAGGCATTGTATTAATTGTCTTACCTCGTTCTTCACCGGTATTGTGATATAATTTTTAGAGCCGCTATTAGTCCACTTTGTCTGATTAGTGGAAACATTGGATACGTTGTTGGGTTTCATCACACCTTCTGCACCACACTCTGCGAAGAAAATACATGGGTTATGACACAGCCAGGACAAATCTACATAATAATACTTATTCCGATTACATACCTGGTACCATATTAGCCTGGCCGACAATCATAGTCTCTCTCATTCCAGAGTTCAAGGAATTGTCGCCGGTTTTTGTAAGATATACGTTCTTTCTACTATCTGATGATTCCATGATTGTTTTGTTTTTGCACGGTTCAAGGATTGTGGCGCAACTTATTATTCACCTGTCTATAATGATAAAATCAAATTATTCTTTTCAAAATAATATTAAATCATTAATATTAAATCACAATTATAATTCGAAGCAAAATTCACAGTAAAATCTGAAAAAAATAAAAAAATAAAATAAAATCCAATTTTTCTCTCGTCCGCTATTTTAAACTTCCTTTATATATTTAATTGTTAATCTCTACTATTTGTTATTATTATTATTGAGCGCTCAAATCAATATTTGTTCGTTTCAATTGTTAATTATATAGCTATCGTTCTAAATTTTTTATGGAGGAAAATAATGACGATCAGCCGAAGCTGAATTCTCAGCTGCGATCTCTTACGATCTTCCTCTTTTTCTCCGTCTGTCCGTTCGTATCTCCGAGAGGACACTTATTTCAAACGACGAGAAAACACAAGTAAATATCAAGGGAAACAGATTGTCAGTAAATTCCGTCCTTTCCTTCAGGAACGCCCAGCGACCGCAAGAATCCCCACGACTATGGATACGAGTCTCTCGTGGAACAGAGCTCTGAAGACTTGATCGACTCCACTTTTTTTAAAGCGTCATCATTTCAAAGCGCGCTATCAGTTTACAACTCCATCCATTTCTTCCAACTTTTACCTTGCGGAGTCGATTGGTTTGTCTCCGCCGAGAGGCTCGTGTAGCCGAAGCGTCGAAACACTCGGCGTCCGGTCGTACGACAATCACTTATCCAGACGTCGCGAACGCGGACACGCAACGCGAGCGGAAGCGGGAGGAGGCGGAGGAGGAGGCAGCGACGGCGGCGACAGCCAGCGGGTTCGCGATCGCGAAAGAAACGAGAAGATCGGTGGGAGGAGACGTAGAGGGGGGAGGGGGGGCGAGGCGGCGGCTCTATCGGGCTCGATTTCACGGATAACGGAGGCTATCGCACCTCGGGACGAAGAGGCATTGTAATCATATCATGAAGGTGATCGCGACAATCGTGTCCGCGAAAGAGATGCAACGTTCGACGGGGAGAGACGGAGGGAACAAGAGCGAGAGAGAAAGAGAAGGAAAAAAAAAGAACAGCCAGGACCCGAACGAATCGGATATGGCAGTTGCCGTGGCGTGACGTACTTATATTGTTACGCGACCGTGCACGATGTCCGCGCACGGAAACGCGTCAATTTTCCCTTTTTTTTTTCTTTTTTTTTTTCTTTTACCTAGGAGTTCGCTCATACGCGCGGCTGTCGCATTTTTCGCAATCACGACGATCTGCGACAATGATTCCGCGAGGTGCCCGTTACCGCACCTTTACGTCCCGATAATCGTCAACCGCCGTGTGAATTGCGAATAACCGACGCGTTATGCACCTGCATGTACTGAAAAACTGATATGTACTGATATTCCTGATATATCTACGCCTGCGACTATGCGATGTTGCGATACAGCGAGACCGAACTGGATTGGCTGGACGATTTCCGGAAGAATCAGGATGGTCTTTCGTGCATCCTAGTGACGGTTGTAGAAATACGTTGCTGAAATTCCTAAAAGTCAGGCTTTCCTATTGGATGTCAATTCGGACTATTCGAAACGAACCGAAACTTGGAAGTAGTTGAAGTTGCCGCTTTGCAATTCCTGAAGTTGACTTCTTGCTCGTCGGCTTTACATATTTTTACTTCGATTGTTTCGATTTTCTTTCTACTTATGTGTCTTCATTGCACATGCGCGAGAAAAATAACACTATCGCAAATTTATTTTGTTCACTTGTACGGTAAAGAACGGCGCGAAAGTGAACGGCTTTAATTTCGAGCATCACTAGCAATTTTAAATAGTATCATTACTTATTCCCACGAAACAATAGTATTCGATTAATCAAGTTAAATATATACGCGACAAAAGTAAGTTTCAATTTTATCTAACATGTCCAGTAGATATAATTCACGCGTAATGAAGTATATTTGTTGAAAATGGTCAAAGATTAATAAGTCACGTTTCATTGTGATTTATTTGAGAGAAAAAGAAAGATCAATTCTCAAAACTAAAATAATAAATCACGATTATCAAAATAACTTGGTAAAATAAATCGTGATTGATCGATAAGTAACTTTTAATTATAATCATTTTGGAGGCATTATGATGCCATTTTGATATCATGATTACTTTTTGTTTTATTTGAACAATTTTAAAAATTATGCAATTGACTTTTTCAGCGTTCTAAAGTGATGGAAATGGACATGTTAATTTGCAACAAATGTTTCACTCCGCTTTATAGAGGCAAACGTCCGTACTACATTACACAGTGCGGTCATATCTCTTGCCAGACTTGTCTGCAGCAATGTAAATTTTAAAAAATATTTCATATTATGATGTATAACTTTCGATTTTTTTTCTATTCACCTTCGATTCACGACTTTACAGTCGAGAAGCAGTGTCCGCAATGTCAACGTGTTGGCACCATTTCGTTAGCATTAGAAGAGCCGTTGATACCAAAATTGACACCGTTCTTCCACACTTCTATTGCCGAGACTATGGAAATGTTGTTGAAGGTGGACTCGTTCCGCAACAATCAATTTAAAATATTGATGCAGCGCTTCCAGGAACTTGTACATAATCAGAGTCTCCTATTCTTATCACTTAGTTTCTTCTAGTTTTAATTTCTTTTATTATTTTCATACAGCACAGAAGCTTGCAGTAATGTTTACAACGTTATTGCAATATTACTGAAACGTTGAAATATTGCTGAAATGATCTGTGTTGTGTTATTTTTACATTTCGTCTTTTATTATTCTTATATTTCTGTTATTCCTTTCTTTCTATTTTCTTTAAATTCCGACAGTCACTTTTTGCGACAATCATCAGTTTAAAAATAATAAATGCTGCGCTTCCAATCTTTTATATAAAATCAGAACTTATCTTTCCTATTTTCTTACTTTTGATTTTTCCTAGTCTTAATTTCTTGTAATTTAATTTTATTATATTTCGTCTCTTACGTATATCATTTTTTTTTAATTGTTGTTATCGACGATGTGTTTATCAAAGGATAAAAAATACGAGGTACTGAAAACCCGATACTGGCTAGATCGTCGCAATTTGAAAGCGTTGACGGAAAAATACGTGACTTCGAAGAAGGCTAATGAGAAGCTCGAAAAGAAACTGCTAGTCATCCAGATGGCCAACAAGGAAACTCCACGATCTCGAATAGAAATGCCGATGACCGATTCCGGTATTTTTTCGAATCAGTCGAATACAGGGTAAAGTGTGAAAAAGAACGATTTTTGAATGAGATCAAAGAAACAAAAACAAATCTCCTTGTGAGATTCGTTTTTGCTTTACATACAATTAATTATATTATGACAATTCGAAAGTAAAATGTCTAAATGATATTATGATATCCTATTTTTATTATATCTTCTATTTGCAGATATTCTCTGGCATCATCAATGAATTTTATGAATTCCGCGGGCATAACACCACCTATTCGATCGCTCGAAAAAAAATTCTATAGAACTGCCGATGGTTTTCGCATACCCGTAAATCGTAAATTACCTGCGAAATCTCTTGCTTCTTCAAATATGTTATCTTAAACTGTAGTTTTATAGAATCCTAGAAATGATAATGAATCGACGTTGATTCGATGTCGATTCCATTATTATTTCTGATTGAGATAGATCTTTTTTTTTCTTTATTTCTCTTTCATAATTATATTATTTTGAGTTCGCCACTATTATTTTATTTAATTTATCATTTTAATAAACAAATTAAAGGATGCGAACTTTTGATTTGATTAAAAAAAAAAATAATTTTATATATAAAACAATTTTATATATAAAATATATGAGGAAAATGTGAATTATTGGCCTGTTCTTTTTTCATTCATTCATGTTTCTTTCTTTTTTTTTGGGAAGAAATAAGAACAAGAAAGATAAACTGGTGTAAAAATTCAGCCAAAAAGAACAGGCCTTATGTTTATTCGAATGAAATCCGATGACATATTTGTAACATGTTTATATAAGCGAAAAAACGCAATGCTTTGATTTAATTTAAGAAAAATGATAATCTCGTTAATTATACCAAAAAATATATTATATTACTTTATTGTGAATTCTGATGAAGATTGTTACATATTTATTGAGATATCGGTACAATTTAATATATTATTTCTTATTAAAAAAGTAAATTGAATTTTTCTTTTAATCTCACAAATTTGCAAATGAGGCATGCAATTGATATGAACGCCACATATAGCATGTCGATGTATTCGTAAACTTATTTCGACATGTTGCGTAATTTATCGTTCGTTTATCAGATTATAATGCGTCATCCATCTACATAGAGTATGTTCCGAATTACGTATGAAGCGCATAATACATTATTTGTCCTTGTTATTCACTAATAATAAAGAAGAATAAAACGACACATTATTAGCGCTTCATGCGTAATTCGGAACGCACCCCTATAGATATGATACGCGAATTTGAATTTAAAGCGACATTCGATCGGTAAAATAGGCAGCAGTTCCTGCGCGATAAAAACAATCATGGGCTTCGCAGATTAGGGACAAAGTTTTTGTCTTGAGCCGGGATTAGATTTGAATGACGATTTTATGAGTGATTGATTGATTTATACTATTTATGTCTGTGCTGTATGAACGATCCTGTAACAAGTATGTTTGAAAGCTCGATTACGGATCCGTTTTAATAACAGACATCTTTGTCGCGAAATGATATGTTAGTGTGGCAGAGTCAGCATGGCAGAGGCAAGTAATAATGACAGTGGTGTGTCGAGTCTGACCGATGACACGATAGGAAATATGTTTAGCGACGAGTTTCCAAGTGATTTGCAAGAGGTAATTCAATAATATCAAACAATTATTTAGGTTAGAGTGTTAAGTAAACACTGTTGAATTAATACTTTATGTCACTTTGTGGCACATTAAAATAATGAAATGTTTTATTCACATCCTTTCCTCTTTTTTTTTATAAAATAACATCTGCTGATGTCTACAGATAGTGTCGATTAAAACGGAAGACAGCATTTTGCAAGAAGTATCAGAACATATCAAACGTACTACAAAATTAAACAATCAGCATAGAATACAAGATGATAATGAACCAAATGTCGAAGGGAATATCAAAGCTAATAGCAAAGAAAATCAGAAGGCAGAATTGCAAAAGCAGGTCGAGATTGGAGAAATTACTCCGTTTGAAGCAGTATTTAAACAGTCAGCTTTAGAGCAAAAAAAAGGGTATGATATAAAATGTTCATTTTCTTTTATTTGCAATTTAAGTTAAATTTTGAATGTAACAATTGACAAGCCTGGTGTTTAAATAATTCAAATTTTCACAATTAAATTTAATAATTATTTTATATTATTTTAGGAGTGCCAATAAAAGTTCTCAATTGTCTGATCTTGAGAAATACTTCAAACAACAAGCTGCTCTTGCTGAACAAAAGAGAAAATTAAAGACTGTATCTAAGACACCTGACAAAGATACAGTACCAATCAAAAAAACAAAATTACTTGATACTGATACAAGAACGGATAAAAAATGTCAAAAATCTAAATATGAGAACAGCAAAGATAACACTGTGCAAAGTATAGACAAGACAGACTCCAATGAAGCAAATGAGATTGTTGACAATAGTTCAGAAAGCGAATATATTCCCAGTGATAATGAAGTGGATTTCGGTAATATTAATATTCAATCTGTTTAGATACACTGAAAAGAGATACGCTAAACAATCTTTTTCAGATATGGAGGCTAAATCATCATCTAAAAAAAGAAAAACTTCAATCAAATCCAGCTCCATTCGCACAAAAAGAAGTACGTATCGTTTACAATTGATGAATTATTTGATCCTCTAGTTATTATTACTGTTTTATTATTAATTATTTTGATCTTGTTACTTTTTAAATTTATCCAGCTCGAGATGATGGAGATAATCAATTATTCAAGCAAAGAGTAGGGACAAATACTTATCCCAAAGATGAAGCAATGCACAAAATTGATACTCTCTTTAAAATGCCACAATGTATTTGGGAAAAATTATACAGGTAGATATGCTATTTTGTTGAGTTTTACAATTTTTTAATCTATAAACATAAATATAAATAATATAAAATTTAAATATAAATAATAGTTTTTTTACAATGAAGTATAAATATTTATATAACATTTAGAACAATTAAAGAAAAGATTTAAATTTAATATTCAGATCTTTCTATGACTTACTTTGACATGAATTAATTTTTTGTATTCATTAGAATTAATTCAATATTTAGTGAAATATTTGAATCAATATGATTTTATATATATAATATATGTAATTTTAACTATAAAATTTTTATAACTAGGTATCAAAAAGTCGCAGTTAAGTGGCTCTGGGAATTACATAGCCGTAAATTAGGCGGTCTGTTGGGTGACGAGATGGGATTAGGAAAAACTGTGGAGATTATTGCATTTCTCGCGGGTTTGGATTGTAGTGAATTGCTCTCTTACCACGGAAGGTATTGTACATTTTTGTATTTCTTAATTAATGTAGAATTTACATGTATACAAAACATCTGCAGGATATTTTTTTTTTAAGAAAGACACGTACTTATATATATCGTTTTATTCCTTATTTAGTTCATTGTTATATTTATGTTATAAATGTATTGATGCACTTGAAAAAAAATTCTGTTTATAACAGATTAGATTTATATTATTAACAGATATAGAGGATTAGGCCCGACTATAATTGTGTGTCCTGCTACTTTAATGGAGCAATGGGTGAAGCATTTTCACGAATGGTGGCCTTTCTTCAGAGTCGTTGTGCTTCACCATTCTGGTGGTTACAATGGTAAGTAAATAGTTTATATATATTTCTCAAGATATCAACCATAAATGATATTCGTAAAATTCGCAATATTCTCATTCAGGTGATCCAGAAAGTTTGATAGAATCTCTACAAATTGGCGGAATACTTATTACTTCTTACAATGGTGTTCTCAAACACAAAGATCTGCTTGTATCTAGTCAATGGCATTATGTTATTCTGGACGAAGGCCATAAGATTCGTAACCCACAAGCAAAGGTAATTACTTGTTAAAAATTGGATGGAATTACTTCATTTACATTTGTATTGTTTTACTATAAATTTCCTTATTTAATAAACTTCATAATTAACATGATAAATGTCTATTCCAAAATACTTCCATATATTATTTCTCATATTAATTAAGTTATATTATTTTATAGGTAAGCCGAGCGGTGAAGCGATTTTCCACTCCGCATCGATTGCTGCTGACTGGTAGTCCAATGCAGAATTCTCTGAAGGAACTGTGGTCTTTGTTTGATTTCATTCTACCTGGCAAATTGGGCACGCTACCTGTATTTCTAGAACATTGTGCGATGCCCATAACACGCGGTGGTTACACAAACGCCACGCCGTTACAGGAAGCAACGGCTCTCCAAATAGCCACTATGCTGAAAAACACTATTACACCATATATGCTTCGAAGAACAAAGACTGATGTGAAGCATCATCTCACCCTACCAGAGAAAAATGAACAGGTTCACCTTGTTTTTTTTACAATAGATATGTCTCTATTGCAGGCAATTAGTGTTCTTCCATTAACCTTTTTTTACAGAAAACAAAGTAATATTGATCTTTTCCATTTTTATCGAATCAATCTGTTTTTTCTTCAGGTATTATTTTGCAGTTTAACAGACGAGCAAAAGAAATTATATAAAAAATATTTATGCTCCGATGATGTTTCTTTTGTTCTACACGAGAGAAATTATTGTAGTAGCGGAAGATACAGAGCGAGGTTCCTCATTGCTTTATCAGCATTGAGAAAAATATGTAATCATCCGGATCTGTTTTTGTACACCAGAGAACAAGTAAGACATAATTAATATAATACTTTATTTATAAAATTATAAATCTCTTTTTTTTAAAGGATTCCGATGAAGATATCGATTTGTCCGACGAACAAATAGAGAAATTCGGATATTATAAACGTGCTGGAAAAATGACAGTGGTTCGATCTCTTCTAAAAATCTGGCAGAAACAAGGTCATAGAGTGCTACTTTTTACTCAGGGAAGACAGGTAAATATGATTCTTTTTTGAACATATAGAATATATGTTCCAAAAATTTTATGTTTAAATAAATTTTTTTATATTCGTTCAATTTTCAAAAAAATATCAATATTATGGAATATTTTTAAAAGATATTTATAAATAAATATTACACATATTTTAAATTTTTTTACAAAAATACTCAGTTTTGTGTTTTTCGAATTATTATCGTATTTTTCGAATTACTTATTAGAATGATATTAGACATGTTATTATATAATTGATCAGTCAAATAAACTATTTTCCATATTTATTTTTCTTTGTACACAGATGATGCACATTTTGGAATCTCTTTTGCAACGTGAAAAGTATATTTATTTGAGAATGGATGGAACAACAGCAATGTCTCAACGGCAACAAACGATTCAAAAATTTAACAATGTAATTATTTGAAAAATTTATCGCAAGACCTCTTTGAAAAATTAATTTTTTCTTTCCATAGGACTCGTCATATTTTGT